TTGTGTATACATTTCTAACACTGCTTCACTGAGAGGTGTGATGGAGAATTACGGTTATTTGCATTCTTGTCTTGTCTGCTAGAACAAATACATCTATATCATGGCTTGAAAAGGTTTCCAGTCATATATCACATCTATTATGACCCATTCTATGGGTCATTATGACCCATTGTTGAATTCAGGATGGCTTACAAAATAATTTTGTTACCATATGTCTAATGACCGTTAAAACGATAGCCAAGAGATAGGTGTTTGTGTATGTGTCTGTGAAAGAGAAAACACACACACAAGCCTTGATTCTGCTTTTGTGTATACTAGCTTAAAGTGCTCATTTCCTAGTAGCTTTGTCTGCAGGCCCAGCTTTAAGTTTAAATTATAGCATAGCTATGATTTAATTTTGTAGTATGGGTGTATCGGGTACTTCCTGCTATAGGAATTCTACATGGAGGCAAGTGGTCATCTTGGCTTTGTTCTTTTGAGGTAGAAATATGAATCTATGACAGTTTGTAATCTCATCAGTATTCCTTGTGATTTTTAGGATCTTTTCTTATGTCTTTGTAAAATACTTGCCAGAAATATGTATATACCTCTAACAAACTTGCTCAGCCTTCTGTGTTTTGAACTTTACAGATAAACTACTTGGTGAATTTCATGTTTATGTTTTTGAAGCTAGATAAATTCAAAATTTAGCACCTCAAAAGTTCCAAGAAATTTTTTTGAGGGCTCTCAAATGAATTCAATATCCAAACAAACTTGCTGAGACACACTATGACAAGTAGACTTTAGGTGACCTTTTGAGGAACTAGTTGTTTTCCAACATTTGACTCTTGCAAATGACAAAAGTTTAAGTGAATCAATCAAATACACTTTCCTTTAGCCATAGATCATACACATGGAATGTGATACGCTCCAAATTACTCATACAGACATTAAAAGGAGGGTTTGTGTAATATATTCCCTCTATGAAGTTAACTGTTGAGACAGCCAACTCTGCAAACCATAATTTTCCTATTAAGTCAGGACCCACTGTTGTGACCTCTGAAATCAATTTAGCTGGCCAGAGGCTCTGAGCACTGTTTATCACACTGAACAAACAGATCTTGGGACTACTGCTCAAATATTTGTGTTAACATTAAACTAACATAGGCAATGAATAAGCTCTTCCCTTGGACCTCTCTGTAAATTTTGAAAGTAATGAGGACCAAATGTGAGACAGAGGTTGTGTGGGCTCTAGCCCAAACATGTGGCATAAACTAGTAGTATAATTAAGTTGGATCCTAACTTGTGTGGTGCCCAGAGAACTCTGAACCCTCAGGAAGACTTTGCATCAAGTGAAGTGAGTAGGAATTGCAACTGTTTTGTTTGTTTTCTCCTATTTTAGACTGAAAACCCAATAATTTTAATTCCAAAGCCATTCCACTGACCTCAGGGCTGAGGCGTGGAGAGGTCAAACAACTTCCCCTGGTCAAACAGGATGCATGTGGCATAGCCATGAACAGAGTCCAAAGTACTGGTCCCATGTCATAACCGTAAGGCCATTCTTAGGGTGACAAAAGCTGTTCTGTTTTAAGCAGATCAAATCATTTGTCCAAGTTGTCATTATGGCTCAACTTTATGAAATACTGTAATGGTGGCAGAGAAAACAAACTCTAGGTACTTGTAGTAAAAAACTATGAATGTGTCAATTGAGATCCGATTCTGTAATTCCCTGCTGAAGTTCAGAGAAAGATAGTTCATGTAGCACATGGTAAAGTCTCTTCCCAGCAGTTCTGTGGCTTTGTATTTTAGAAATATTTCCTAACGATCTATGTTTCTTGGTAATTCTGTTTTCTGTCCCAGCATCTAAAATGTACTAGCACCAAGTGCCAGCCTGTGATATTCCTATGAAGTCATTTACTAACTAACTTTTATTTTACAGAAGGGGACAGGAAATGAAACCTCCTGGTCAAATGTTCTGAAACCTATTTGCTTAAAATTAAGTGACTATATTCATAATCAAGCAACTGAATCAAGGAGGCTCAGTTTTCAGAGCTACTTGTGACCTCAGCAAACAGGAACAGACTCCAGTCAAACAACTGCTGAGCGTACACTTTACACAGGCTGTTTACTATTAAATAAAAAAAAAGACAACATGAAGTCTAAACTTGGTTATATTCATCCATATGCAATACAACACTGTTCTGTAACCCGTGGCTGCCCCCAAGTCCTATTGCCAGGCCTCTAACCACACTATCCTGTTTATTGAAAAATATTTTCCTCACTCTAGTTTTTTGCAACCCCGGACCAGCAGGGACCGAGCCAGTAAACTGCACCAAACCTCCCTTACCCTTTCTAGCAGTTGGCCTGAAAGCCAAGTGGAAACTGCTGGCAAAAAGTCCTGTTTTCTCTATTAAGCCTCTGTTTGCAGACAGGTTCATGAGACTCTTTCCAGTCTGGAAATTAGATCATTTGTCAAAGATCATACAGGAAATCAATGACAGAATAAGGAATAGAATTAGATTTCTTCACTTTCAAGACCTAGACTTGAACTGCAAGACAGGTCTGACTCTGAAAGTCTATTAATAAATCAAAACCAAACTCATATATTTGAGACTATGCATGTCTCAAGAACACAAGGAAACATCCCTGCTGAATGATGGTTAACGTTTATCCCAGAAGAAAAAATCTGGGTCCTTATTGATGTAAACCAGCACAGCACCATTGACAATCCCCTACCGCTTATCTTTTTCAGGGCAGGGCTTAACACTATGAGTCCTGTTATAGAAGTGCTTCATCTATGTGGATGTCAGAGGTAAAAGTTTCTGGGCTTTGCAAATGTAATTGTCAGTCTTTGCTGAGCCCAAGTCATAGAGATGCCCTTCAGCATCTGTGCACTAGGAGCAATGGCAAGCAATGTTCCTCCTGCTTTTTTGCCCCCACTGCTAAAGAGTTACTGCATTGGAAGACTAGGAGTTAGAGATAAGGAAAAATACAGGCTTGGAAAAATAATTGCATTGTAAAGGTGTGCCTCTTCAATGGAGGAGTTTTAAACTACAGGAGTCTTGGTAAATATTTGGTATTTATTTAGATATGTTTTCTTTCTCCTGCTGTACTTCATCTTTGAAATTCTAAACGTAAAATTAACATTGTTGGGCAGTAGGGAAATGTTTGTTATTGTCATTATGGTTTTTTAGCACCATTAGGAAAAAAAAAAGGATTTGGGAGCAAATGTTTGGATCCAAGTATTTTTGTGTTGTGCTAGCTCTTGAGAAATGTAAAAGCATAATTAATTAGTGACTGGAACACAGGATGTTAATCAGAAAGAGTCTGAAAAATTGGATTTTTTTTTTTGTTTAATTGCATAAATTTGATTTGAAGGTATAGTCCTGCATATAGGCAAAGACCCTTAAAAATCCAATTATTAACCCGACTGTCCTCTGAAACTGTCCAAATGTAATGTTGTTCCAGATGTTAGTGGTACTGCTCCCTGTTTATACTATTTCTCAGCAGCTGTTAAGCTATTTGAAAAAATGACTCAGATGGGTGGTACTGGTATTTGATGCAGAATCTACCCCCAAGGGGCATGTAATTACATAAAATTATATTTATTGGGCTTCATTTATCAGGACAGCAAACCAAATAACATTCCTTCAGCCTGATGTAAATTACAAAGGGCAAATGTTATCATAGCCTCTTGACAGAACAGGCTGTATTGACTGTTATTAGATTTTTTTTTTTTTATCAAGAGATATAAAATCACATGACTTCTTTTTTTTCTTTTTTCCCCTTTGCCTATCCACCTACAAATGAGAAATCTAATCCTGCTAATGTGTGTGCACATGCATATCTTCACTTGTGTGAGTAATCCTTTCAAAATAAGTGAACTACTTTTTTTGCAGGAAAGGTATGTCCATGAATACAAGCTTGCAGATGTGGTTCTGCAGGCAGTGTACTCTGGAGACCCCTGTCCTGTTCTCCTTAGTGTGCTAAAATGAATGGACTTACAGGAATGCAGGCCTGGGTTCCAAAAGTGGGCAGGCTGAATTTCAGTTTCTGAATCAAGCTAGCGCTCAGAAGTGTACCGGTGAGCTTATCTGTAGTACAGCTAATGGGCTGGTCGCATCCTGCTCTCAGGGACAGGTTTTAGTGCAGCTGAGTCCAACCAGACAATATAACATAACAGAATTTAGCAGAATATTTGTTTTGACCACGGCAGATGCTTGTCAGGCTGTGGCCATCTGTGTTGTGCTGCAGCATTGTCTGCACTGTGGAATGGACACATAACTTCGGAGTGCTTTTTCCTCTTCAACCTCTCTTTGCTATCTGTTTTCCCATTTATTTCTTTTTGTCTGGGTTTTTCTTTTGGTTTATATTTTCCTTCCCCTCCGCCCCCCTGCCTCCCTCCCACGCTCTTCCTTTGGCATTTTAGAAGAAAATTCCTGTGTGAAAAATCATGTGTACTTGTAAGTTCCAGAAGCTTTTGCAACAGAAAAAAACTGAGACTGTTGTTCTGTCTTAAAGAAAAAAGGAGACACACATATTTTCATCTATAGCTCTTACAGCATGTCTTACTCTCCTGGGAAGCTTTCTTTTCTTTCATCTATTACCTGTTTCTCAGCTCACTAGTGGAAGAATACTGCAATGGTATGTATTGTCCCTGAAATATGTTCTGTATGTTTCCTTCTCTACATCCTTCGCTGTGTTAAGGAAATCTAATACATTGAATGTATCTGAAAATCAGCATTCCTTGATACAAAGATAGATACATCATAGAGAGGAGTAAACCCATGAACTTTCAGTTGCTGGAGAAATCAGTGTCTGTGACCAAAATACTCCACAAGCTTGGTGCTAGCAACTGACAGCTAAACGGTGATAGATATGTGAAACTAAGTCAATGATTTGGGATTTTTTTTTAATGACCAAGAGTGTAAAGGAATTGCAGGTTACTATTTGCAGTGCAGTAAAACATTTCTGCTTTGACTCTTCCATTTCTTTTCTTCCCTAGAAAGCATCTGTGCAACATGACATTTGAAGATTTTGAGAACTACTCTTACTTCTATGACCTGCCTGAGGAAGATGAATCACCCCAGTCCTCCCTCAGCATTGCCCATATGATTTCCCTTTCCTTTTACAGTGTGGCATTTCTGCTGGGAGTGCCAGGTAATGCCATCGTCATCTGGTTTATGGGCTTTAAGTGGGACAAATCTGTTTCTACACTTTGGTTCCTCAATCTGGCCATTGCAGATTTCATTTTTGTTCTCTTCCTGCCGCTCTATATTACATACGTTGCAATGGGCTTCCACTGGCCTTTTGGGAAGTGGCTGTGCAAAATGAACTCGTTCATTGCACTACTTAATATGTTTGCCAGTGTTTTCTTCCTGACGTTCATCAGCCTTGACCGCTACATTCGCCTAGTCCACCCAGTCTTTTCCTACAAGTATCGGACTGTAAGGAACACCCTCATTCTTAGTGGAATCATTTGGATGTCAGCTGCAGTTATTGGTGGCCCTGCCTTATACTTTAGAGACACAGCTACGGTTCTCAACAATGTCACCATTTGCTACAACAACTTCCATGTGCATGACAGAGAACTTATCTTGCTGACACATCACATTCTCATTTGGGTGAGGCTTGCATTCGGTTACCTCTTTCCTCTACTGACCATGGTCATTTGCTACTCATTGCTGATTGTCAAAGTGAAGAGGAGAACTGTATTGACTTCCAGCAGGCTTTTCTGGACCATCATTGCTGTAGTTGTAGCTTTTTTTGTTTGCTGGACACCATATCACATATTCAGCATTGTGGAGCTGTCTGCTCACCATGATGAAAACTTGCATGACTTACTGCAGGATGGCATTCCCCTCTCCACTGGCCTTGGTTTCATCAACAGTTGCCTCAATCCAATCCTCTATGTTCTGATTAGCAAAAAGTTCCAGGCCCAGGTCAAGACAACAGTCTCTGAGGTGCTGAAATTGGCACTGTGGGAGGTGAGCCGCTCAGGAACTGTCAGCGAGCAGCTGTGGAGCTCGGACAACACCCAAGCGCCCGTGCGCTATTGTGAAACTGCTCAGTGACTGCTCTTGTCACCATCCCTCTCCAAAACAGCTGAGAGGAGATTTGCAGGTGTTCTTGACTTCACATCTGCCAGTCAGATGTGCATCTTTGCAGATACAGTTTTATGTAAACAGCTGGCTTAATTACACTTGCTGCTTTCCTTGAAAGGTTTTTAAAGGACACATCATTTGGGTGTGGTGTACTTGCAATGCACACTCAGCCTGAACTGAAAGTTGTCAGCATAAGTGGAATTGCTCTAATGGGGTTTTTGATCAGGAATGGTGTTGTAATCCAGTTGTGTTGTTGCGATTCCATACCTCGTTGATATCAATAGAGCACATAATAAAAATATTCCTCCTTGCTGTCACTGATAACACTCTTGATTGAGGCATTCTCATCGAAGAGGTTGTGGCCATATATCAATGGGTCATGAGTCTCCTGATTGTCTAGTATTGCCTTAAGTAGGAATCACTTAGCTACATCCCAGCTAAGCAAAGCTATCCGTGGCTCCACTCTGCGGATGGAGAAGAATCCCAAGACAGGGAACACTGAATCACTGCCTTCTCTTGTCAAAAAAGAAGAATATGGAAATAAATTCTTTTTTTTCCCAGTGCTCTTTTGTCTTATACTCAAACCTAAGACAGGAGATCCAGTGTTTCCTGGTCACTTATTTTTGTGCTTTTAGCACCAATTGGGTGCAAAAAACTGAGCGGACGTTTCATATAGGTATTAGGTTCCTCTGAAAAGTGCAAAGAATTAGTGAAATGGTTTCTGACAGAAGCTGAGATTAAAGGCCCCCTGCCACACTTGTTCTTTTTCTGTTTAAACTTCCAGGCTCAAAGAGGTTTACGACTATCAGTTGCTCTTTATTGCTCTGTCAAACAAAGGTAAAGAAATAATGTAACATTTTGTTTGCCTTAATGCCAATCTTCAAAAAATGGGCAGAGTGAATTAAATAATAGTCTGTTGCAAGTCTGGAGCCAAATTTGGATGACTTTACCAAATGAGAGGCAATGAGTACATCCAGGAAATGGAGTCCACTCCCATAAGAAAGATGAAGTAGTCCCAGTTATGCTGTATTCTGTTCCAACTTGTTGCTTGCTGTAGAATCACACATGCATCAATGCAGACATATATGCTGAGTGGACCAATTTATGATGCAATACCACATAACTTAAAGAGTTGAATGTAGGATAAAACTCCACTAGAAGTAAAAGCATAAAGCTTTGGGTAAATTTGAACAGGTTTTTCCTTGTTATTGGCCTAGGTATCCAGAGTAAAACTGCCTTTCAAATAATCTACCTAGTTCCTATGGCCTGCCAACACACATAAGCAGCACTTATACTGCAATTGAGGCCTTATATGTAAATATATTTGCTTTTGTATAAAATATATATTTATATATGCATGCATAAGCACATCCAGTATTGGTAGCTGTACAAATAGAAACAGTCTGACTGTGGTCTGTAACTGTTCCTTTGGGCTCTGGTTTCAGAGTTTGGGAGAGTCAGGCAGAATCAGTGGAATTTCAGTGTATTTCAGTTTGGACTGGAAAGTTGGTAAGCAGCACTCTTCCTTTGAGTCATTTGCTGCCTGGTACATAGTGACTCATCATAGTATTTTGGCACAGTGCTGCTGAATGTGCCTAAATCAAACATTTTGCAGTTCTTCTTCACATGTTCCCTGACATCTTTCTAAGAATGATGTATTAGTACTACTCTCCTGACTGTACTCCAAGTGAAGTAATAAATTTTTGTTGTTCCAAAGAGTATGTTCATTTGCTTTTCTCAGCAGCAATACACAGTGACTGTCCATTCTTAGAACAGCTCCTTCTCAAAGATTTCGGAAGATGTAAGCAAGCCCTGACCCTTTCTACTACAGGCATTAAAGTTTATGTCAGCTTTCTTCTTGCATGTCAGCTATGTGAGCACACATATTGCTATATACTGTAAAGAGATTGATTTTCAACTGAAAGAACATATATATGCTGTCTTGCATAAATTATCGAAGCCTCCCCTGAAGTAGACAACAGAGATACAGAATAGAATTGAATAGGGCTGAAGTCAGTCCTGTTCTATGGAATTAAGTGGATTAACAATTTTGCAATATAACTACTACCTCATTCACACCAGGATCAGTTACAGAATTATCTCCAAATCATTTCTGCAAGAGTAATGTGTGGAAGATACCTGAACGAAACAGATAACTCTCTAAGTTTCTGTTTCCAAAATAACACCAACAGTTCCGTGCTGCTTGGACTCGGGAATGCTCATTCAACCCACCACAGTGGAAAAAAAGCCAGAGGGGATCTCTCTTATCATGCTAAAAGATACTATAGAAAAACACTTCATAGGAAATAGCTCTATGATCAACCATTCATTCAAGAAAAATAGCTATTGACACATTTCATAATAGACAGGTTCTGGTTACTTACTCTTACCTGCTTCCTGAACAGTTTGTACTTCTGCACATTGTTATGTAGGTTAGTTTGTAACCAATACTTTGTTGAAACTGTTTTCCCAGTATTTGTATGTATCTCATATTTAAGTTCTAGAACTTTCTGGCGATCTTTCTGTTATGCGGTGCACTTGGGATAGAAGTGTCTCATTTACTCCAAGATGCTTATTTTTCACAGGCATGATGGCACAGTAATATACCAGCACATAACCAAATACTACACAAAACCCCCTGACGTAGATATATGTGGATTCTGTGGAATTCTCTTGCCCACATGCCCATCTACTTTGTAACTGGGGAGACTGTGCTCTCTAGCTTTTTTTTTTTTGGTTTGTTTCTATGCAGCAAGTTTCCTTCGAACATCAGGACAAAAAAAAAACCCCAAATGAAATGCTAACAACTGAAGAGTTTGTGCATGCATGCTTCACATAAATGAAACACACATAAAAATCCAGTCTGGCAGGTGAGATGGATGGCTTATAGTGCTGTATTTTAGCAAAGTTACAGTCTATAAATCAAACAATTTTATCCACTTAGAGATTTAATTTCAAGGTCAAGGAAAGAGTTTAAAGGTAAGAAGCACATTGAACGGGAGGTCAGAAACAGTGATGGCCAAGGATAATAAAAATTACATTTTTGTGGCAGAATGTTTATTTCATTTTTTTCTGGTGTGGCATTTGCTAATTTCTTGCTTTTAACAGCACCGTGACAGTTGCTAAAGCTAAGCTACATGATTTAGCAGAAGCGACAGCTAGAGAATTGCCACAGAAAGGGTACTGTGCATTAATCACACACAGGATTAAGCTAGTCTTTTAGAAGTTAAGTTTATGGAAGGTAGGAATGAAGCCTGTAATTATACTTACTTCCAATTCTTTAATTGCGCTTTAAACCTCTGGCAGGCAGAATTTTTTCTGAGATGAATTATAAAACAAAGCTCTTCTTCCATAATGTGAAGTTGGCAGACCTTTCAGCAAAGAGAAACAGGACCTGCTGTGCCAGATAACCACACGCAGATGCTCCGTGAAAAAAAGAACAAAAAGAGTTATTTTAGCTGCTGCTGTCAGTCTTCAGCACTGAGCATCTTCATCTCAGAGTGACCAATGTGGCACATAAAAGGCTTCCATTTCATGGTCACAATGAATTCTTTCAAACGGAAGGCCCAGAAATGTGAGTTTATCTACAAGCTTCATAACTTGTGACAGCTTTTACATTTGTGTCATTCCTACAGATCGTTTTTGGAAAGTAATTTAGTCGATAGGTTCTTCAATCTTTAAAAGATGTCAAAATCAATCTAGAAACCAATCTGGAGCCAAGCAGGCAGCTCAAACTGCTGTTAATTATGCCACTTTATCTTTGCCTTTTAATCGAACCCTTATTTTTTTGTTTTTAGCCTGGAGCATGCTTCAAGTTTAGTATACAAGAAAATTATCCACCTGCATTAGCTGTAGCCCCACAGTACCACAGCACCGGGTCAGGCAGCCGATGCCGAGGAGTCCCTGTGGCAGGCGTGTGCTGCCCCCTGGTCGCCTCGGAGCTCCCAGCACCTTTCAGGAAGGACAACGCCGCTCCCCACGGTGCCTGCCCAGGCTCTTCAAGGTGCAGGACGCACCAAGGGCCTTGGAATAGGAAAGGAGGAGCTTTTACCAATACCGTTATTTGCTGTACTAATTAAGCCCCAGAAAAGATGCGAAATCTGAAGCAAACGTTTTCGCACCTCGGAGGAAAAGAGCTCCAAGTCCAAACAACAAGAGACGAGAAGGTACCGTGGTAGTCTCAGCTCCAAGTAGTCCGTTTCATTGTATGCCTAATCATCTCTAGTGCATTGCAGTTGCTTCTAACTTACCTTCATCTCCACTCTCAGTGAAGCAGAGTTTTAGCTTTCAGCAAAAGCCACAGTGTATTTGGTTAGTCACCACCCTTATTAAGCAAAAAGAATTTATACTACTGTTTATCTGCTAAAAGAAGTTATTTTGCACCATGCCTGAGCCCTGTGCTCTTCCCTTAAAGCCATCACTCCTTCCAGAAGAATTACAGAAATTTCTAAAGATGTGACTTTCCCCCAAAATGAAGCAAAGAGCATTTCAGATTTTTAAAGCCACATAAATGTTAAATCTGGACTGATGGTAACCTCTGCTCATACTCTTGGGTGCTACAGTTGGGTGTTGTAGCAACCCTGAAATTCAGTTTTAGTTTCTGCTTTACCCATCAACCAATTTTATATTTGAGTTGGATTACACTATGATTTTGAATTAACCAGACACAGCCCAATTTTTGCAATTACATTTATTCTAGATATATCAAGACTTAAATCTTATTGAAAGCAGCTACATCCATTGATTGTACATAATCTTCAAAAGCTGTTATTCTCTCTTCCAGCATATCTGTTCCAACTTTATCATCTTCAACAACACACTGGATCTGAAGCTTTTTGATACCATAGCCAACTGGTACTAGCTTGGCTGCAAAAAAAAAAAACCAAAGAAAAAAAAAGAGCATTTAGTACTTGATTGATAGAATCTCTTAAAAATGCAGATCTAAGATTGAACTGACCAAAGTAGTTTGCAGGAGTACATAAAAACCAGTTTGTTCTGTATTATCAACTGCCTAATCAACAAAACAGCATTCATTACAAGGTGGTCAAAAGGGGTTTCTTTTTGTGGGTTCCCCACCACCCCCCCAAACCGGTGATGTGGATGTATGGGTGTTTGCTTGCTGCATCAGGAACTGTACAGGGACATGCAGGATAGCAGAGCCAAAGTTTTAAAGCTTTTAAAACCTGTATTTGAATCTTAGTCTGGGTGCTGCACTAATACACCTTTTTGACTATGCCAAGATACTGAAGTACTGTAGTATTGTAATTTCCTCGCTATTTTAGCTACCTGCATTTTCACACATCACCAAACAATGACCACAAGTCTACCTATTCATACATTATCTTAAGAGACTGCATTACCTCTCCCCTCTCCCTGCTTTGAAATTTTCTCCTACTTACATGATCCCCAGACCAAGCCATCTGCTTGAATGCTTCGAACACACTCCTCTAGTTTGGCCATGT